AAAAGGAGGCGGGGGGAAAACCCACGTGCAAAATTTCAAAGGAATGAGGGCAAATTTTGGAAGGAAGATGTGAAAACATTACAGGAATCTCTGTACAAAAGAATCTCCTGTTTCAATCTTTCAGCTATTGCCAGCTTTACTCATGGGTCTGGGCCTGCCTGCACTGGCTGATTTTGGTCTTTCATAAAATTTGTGTTGGCTCTGGATACTTTCACTCATCCAGCACGACCTCAGCAGACAGACCTCTGTTTGAAGAGGCTTTAAACTCACTTAGGAAAACCCAGATAGCCTGACTGAAGGCCATCTGTCCATCTCACATCAAACAGCCCTGTGCCTGCTCCAATGTTTGCTGGGCTGGGGAGTGATGCAGCTATTACTGCAATTCCTGATGAAATTCCTGCTGATTCAGAGGGAGAGGAGTTAACCCTTTCAAGTTCTGGGTCAAAGGAGCACTGAGGTTTTGAGCCAGCCACTTCAATGCCATGTCAAGGTTTTAATGTGTCTCCCAACACTCCAAAGTCAGACCTGAGCTGAGCTTTAAGGCCAGCGAGGAGAATAGCCTGGGAGAAGCTGGATTTAAAAGATGGCAAAGAGTCAGGGAAAACTGTAGAGATAAAAGTGAAGTGCATGGAAGCCAATGATGTGGGATAAAAGGCTTATTTCCTACTGTAGTCGAGGAGGGAGGGGGGAGGCTGAAGTCTGTGTGAAAGCAGCCTGCCTTTGGGAAGAAACAGTGCCAAGAATACCCATGGCTGAGATGCTCAGCTTTAGATTTTCTCACTGGTTAAATCTGGGTGCTGTCAGACCCACAATCTTCACCTGTAAACCACCAGTTTATCTCAAGCACGGTCCTGCTGTCTGGAGTTCCTGAGCACTGTGTCCCTGCTTCTCCCTAGCAATTATTTTGGGGTAGCAAAAAGAGCTGACTAAGACAAGCCTCATCCCAGGCAGGTTTAACTCCTACACAGGCTAAAGAGGCTCCAAGAACCAACAGGCAGTGGCTGATGTGTGCAGTACTTCATACAGGGGAAGGACTTCCATAATATTCAGCTTGTACTTAGAAGCTGAATAGCCAAATACATTTGAAGAACTTCATTAAAATCGTTGCTCTGTCCTAACTCTGAAACAAATCCATGCTTTGTGCCCTTAGCAAATCCTCTCCCCAGGTTGCTGTGCCCTCATAGGATCACGGAATGGTTTGGGTGGGAAGGGACCTAAAGATCACCCAGTTCCAACCCCCTGCCACGGGCAGGGACACCTTCCACTAGCCCAGGTTTCTCAGGGTCCCATCCAACCTGGCCTTCCAAAGCAGGCACTGATTTGGGGGAAGCTACCTCGAGCTAACAGATGTGGGTTTAGGTTGTGCTGAGCACCCACAGCTCCTGCTGACATCGAGTGAAATGGCACAAATGTTGCAAAAGCGCCATTAAAAATTAATTTGCTGTCATCTCCGGTTTCCTGGCACTGGTACATTCCCGAATGGGCTTTGTTCCAAATCCTTTGTGCGGGCTGGGCTGGCTGATCAATAAAGCACAGGCAAGGGAAACAGCTTGTCACTGTGTGCCATCCATTTCCACTCTCCTGGTGCACACAGGGAGCTGACAGGAGGGATGTTTTCGGTGCAGAGGTGACCTCCTGTGCCTGACTCTTCTTCGCACCCTCCTGTGCTGCTGTGTGGAATCCCGAAGTGCAAAGAGGTATAAACCCCCCAAAATTTCTCCCTCAGCTAATTTCAAAGCCTGTTTACCCAACTGGATACACAAGGATTAAGAAGTGCATTGCAGGGCATGTTTGCTTAGTTTAGTCCTTACACAGTTCAGTGCAAGTGTCAGAATAAATGACTTCTTCAGAGGAGAACAGGAAAAAAACCACATTTGGTTAATCAACTCAATATTACAGCAGTTCCCAAGCATTAAACATGCACTGCAGAAACCATTAGACCAGGAAAGGCCTTTTCACATTAACAATTCACTTGCAAAGATGAATTAAAAAAGCCTGCTTCTGTCCTTCAGCTCAGCCTAATCCTGAAAATCTGAGTTCCCGTGCAATCTGTAGCTCACCTGTGGCTCTTGCTGCTGAATTGCTGCTTGCTGGGGGATGGAAAGATGATTCCCTTGATCTTGAATTGTCTCTGGTGGCTGGTCCTGTGAGGGTGGTGAGGTGCTGGCCCAGTCTCACCACTCAGTCTCCCTTTGTGGTTCTCTGATGCTTCTCAGCCCTTTCTTTCTACTTCATCTCATAACTCTGCTGCCAGACTGGGCAAGTTGTCCACCCTGTGCAAGCCCAGTTGCTGCTGCTGCCATCCCTGCTCCAGGCACTCCCTCAGCCTCAAGCCTGGACAGCTACATGGGAGGGTTTTTTCTCATGTTTTTTTGGGAGCTCTGTTTGGGTCAGTGTATCTGGGGGAAGGCACCACGTTTGAGCTCTCTCAGCGAGTGTAACGACCAGCAACTGAGCAAACTGCAGTGCCCTACCTGCCCAAACTGCCACCCAAACTGCCACTCGGCTGTGTCTGAGCTCAGGATCCCCCTCAGTGTGACTCTCAGCCCTGGACTCACCTCACTGCTGCTGCCTCTGACCGACCAAAAACCACCTTGCTGCTCCTGAAAGTCCCTCTCCTCTCCCCTGAAAATAATTGCAGACCTTACTGCGAGTGGCAGGGACGTTGTGAACACAAGTGCTGAGCTTGCACTGATCTCAGTTTGCCTTCCTGCCAAATGTTTGGTATCTCTGCCTGTCACCTGCAACCAACAGCAAAGCTGTGCTGACTTTTGGGGGGGGAAGCTGTGGTTCTTCTCAGTGCCAGGTGAAAATTCCATCCTTGTGAGATTTCTGCTTCCCTTTTGTTGCCAAGCCGTGGGTTTATGGGTTGGGGGGCACTGCTGGGCAGGAAGGGCTGCTGGTGGTGAGACATTCCTGGAGGGAAGAGAAGGTTTTTCACAGGGAATGGCATTTTGCCTTACAGAAAGGCAGGCAGAGGATCCATGGGCTGTCCCCTGTTCTGCCAAGTGACTTTTTTACTGGACTGTAGGCACTTATTTGCTTGGGACACCTTTTTAAGGAAATCAGATGCACAGACCAGCTACTGAAGAGTAGCTAAGAGTATTTAGACATCTGTCACCTGCTGGTTCTTATTTGAATTCCTGTATGTTTTTTAGAAAGCCATCAGTGTTCCACTCTCTCCTATCACACCTACATCTTTCAACAGTCTAAATGGAGTTTTTTTTTGGAGAACTCTGAATTTTTCAAAGGTTGCAAATCCCTCCCCATTCAAAACTAGATTTGCAGTGAGGAGGGAAGGTGTTGAAAGCAAAATGCTTTGAATTCTGAAGGCTTGGGGGTGTGGAGCGCTTTTAAACCTGGCCTCAAAAGTCTGATTTTCACAGGGGCTAAGTGTCTGCAGGTTTGATTTCTAACAAGATTGAGAATGCTCCCTTAAATTCCTTCTTCCTCTGGGTAAGGAGGAAACAATTAGCTGTCTCAGGACAGTGTTTGAGGTCCGTGCTGGTTTTTTTTTTTGCTTACAAAGCACTGTTTTACCATACTTGCAACGAAGCTTTCCAACCTATTCATCAGGAATGAATGGACAGGAAAAGTGGTCAGACAGCAACTCGGATCAGCGTTGGCCATCAGGGGGGAAACCTGTCCTGTTTGCAGGCACAGCTTAGTTAAGAGGAGCAATAAAGCTGACTGTCCAAATATGTTATCTCGGTGGCATTGCTTGCTGTCATTGTTTTGGCTGGGTGAGGAGAAGGGCAGGGTGGTGTTGGAGAGACCAGGCCTGGAGGAAATGGGTATTTTCTCCTCCTGAGGGTTTTTTAAAGCACTCCCCACCTTGGGTGTCACTGCAGGTGCAGCAAGAAGACATGTGGCTTCCAGCTGCCTTCTTCCCCCTGCTCCTGCTGCCCCTGAGCTGCTCTCACCTGGTGCACTGGACTTACAAAGGTAAGGGAAAATGAGGCTGGTTTGGGGTCGCTGCAGCTGAAGACGCTCCCTTCCCTTTCGTGCTGCAGGAGCAACACTCAGCTTGACTCTCCCTCGGTGGAAGATCACAGAGCAGCTAATTTATTCCACTTTATTGATGCCTCTGCGTCTTGAAAGTGATTCTCTTCAATGTCACCCCTTTTTGCTCCTTTGTGTGGTCAGGACACATTGTCAGGGTTGGCAGCACAACGAGGTTTCAAACAATGGGGGAATCTTTACTTGTGTTCGAAGAAAAGCTGCCCTTTGGATGATCCTGGAAGGAAAAGCTTTAAGTACTGCCTGCTGCTTATTTTATTGTCACATTCCAAGCAGTACAGAGCACTAAGAAGTCCTTCTTTGGGTATTTATATTTTTTTGGTCAAATTTTATCACAATTGCGTTTGTTTCGGGGAGTTGATTGCAGTAAATGTTAATCCCTTTATGATCTTCGGTGGGCTGATAATCAAGCTAAAACAAAGGATATCTGTTGGATAAATTGCACTATTGCAATTGCTCTTTCCCCAGTTGAAAACAGCAAATTGCTGCCACTTCCTGATCCTAAGAAGAGTCTTCCTGCCTATTGCCCTGATCGACTTCCACACCTTTGGCAGTTGAGCCCCATTTAAATCCCCATTTCCATGTAAACGCTGCTCCCCTTCTGGTGGAGGCTCAGCCTCTGTTGCTGCAATGCAGGTTTCTCACTTTGCAGCACAGCCGTCCTGCCGACAGAATAATGTGTATTTTCACTCCGGGGAAGGCAAAGCAACCTTTCCCGGCTGCAGCTCCCGGTGTTACAATAATTAGCTTGACGTTTCCTGCTGGCAAACGAGGGGAGTTCCCCTGACTCCTCACCACGTCCCTGTAACCTCGCCTTGCTTCCCCTGCTGGCAGAGGGAGAGCTGGATGAAGAGCACTGGGGGAAGCACTTTCCAGACTGTGCTGGCAAGCACCAATCTCCAATTGACATCCAGAGGAAGAAAGTGAGGTACAACCCCCTGCTGCTGGAGCTGGAGCTCAATGGTTACGACGGGCCTTTGCAGGGGGATTTCAAGATGACCAACAATGGTCACTCTGGTAAGGCTGGGGGGGGTGGTGTCAGGCTCATGGCAGGGCAAGGACACTTCTCATTTTAACTGATGCAAATGCTATTCACAGACAATGCCCTATTTTTATTTATTTTTTTTTTTAACTCACCTTACTTTGCCATCTCACTTGGTTCCCCTCCCCTGTTTTGGAGTTTTGCCCAATCACCCAGGAAAGCTCTCCAGAAATACATATATAAACCAGACAAATAACAGGCAGTTAGATTTCTGCAAGATATTTTCTCTGTCAGACTCGAAAAGGGGATAAAATGCAAACAGAGCATTCTAGATTGACCCTTTCTTTTAACGTGCTCCAAGACAACAGGACTACAGCAGTGTGTGGTATTTATTTGGGGCATGCTGACTCCTCTCTGCATTAAAAAAATGCTTCTTTTGGCCCTGTGCATTAGTAAGAAGTGACAGGAATGGAAACCTTTGCATTCCAAGTTCATTTAGATGTCGGTCACCCAAAGTACAACACGGAGGAATCCCTTCCTCAAAGCCAGAGGATTGGTATCTTGGGTCTCAGCAAGGGAAAAGGGAGCACAGCACAGGTTAAAAGCCTGGCCTTTGGCCACACAGTTTCAGGGCAAGGCTTGTAATTTAGGAGATCCCAGATTCCCCTGCTGCAGTCTGTAATTCACTGTCTAAATAATTCATCAGCTGGTACTGTTGGGATAATGCTTTTGGACTACAGATGAGCAGCGAGAGGATTTGATTCTCCAATGGCTGCAGTGGGGAGAGAATTGAGCGGTGTTGGGAAGGTGATTGAAACATGAAACTTGTAGCTCTTTAATCCTGCACGACAGCCCTTTCTTCCCCTCTGTAACAGAGAGGGAGAAATCCGGTGTGAGAGCAAGGAGATGAAGTGATGAGAGACAAAGTGCCTGTTTGTGGCCCACACAGACTCAGTTGTGTCAGCACTGCTGCCCTGCCCTGCCTATACATTAATTCTTGCAGGTTTAGCTTTTCTGCCCCCGTGTGTGTATTTGCCTGTTCCTTTGTTAACTTCCCAACAATGATTATCTGATGCAGGGCAGTTTCCCAAAGCAGGGAGACAATTCAAAAGCTGTCCCCATTCACAGCTCCTGTGAGTCAGGCTGGGTTTTTCTACTGGCTTCAGCGAGAGGGGACAGGGCAGCAGAATCTCTCAGGGAAAAACACTCAGCAGATCTGAAAGGGGCAGGAGATGGATTTCTCAGCAGGACTCTCCTTGCAGGCTCTCAGGAGCCAAACCCAAACGTCTCACCTATATTCCCCTTTTCTTCCTTGGAAAGGAAGTAGTTCAATCTGTGCAGAGCCCAGCCAGAAGTGACTGTGCCATGCAAGGGCTGATCACTAAAGCACCTTTATTAGTGCCTAATGACAGAGCCAGAGCTGCTCAGAGGGAGGAAGAGTCTGCAGGCACAGCTGCTGCCCCTGGTGGGAGCTGTGTGGGGCACAAGCCTGAGCTCAGGAAGGATTTCAAGCACATCCAGCTTTAGGCTCAGCATTTTCCATTCCACACTGGGGTCGGTTCCTGCTCAGCTGCACCTGCTCGTGTCAGAGGGTGGTGCTGCAGGGAGCACCAGGCGCTGTCAGGGGATCTACAGCAGTGGGGTGGCTGCCTCTAATCCTGGTGAGGTTTTTTTTCCAGTTCAGATCGATCTGCCACCTACCATGAACATCTCCAGAGGGCTCCCGGGCCTGTACACGGCTGTCCAGATGCACCTGCACTGGGGTGGCCTGGACCTGGAGACCAGTGGCTCTGAGCACACCATAGATGGGATGAGGTACTTTGCAGAGGTACGTGAGCATATTCATCACAGACCTGTTAAACCAAAGGTCTCCTTGGCCACGCTGTGAGGCACAAGCAGCAGGAATTGGGATGGTGACCTCCCTGCAGTGTGCCCTGGGCCCTCTAAAGCACCCAGGAACCCCTCATCACTTGCTGCTGAATGAGCTTGTGTCTGTCCTGACAGCTGCACATTGTCCATTACAACTCTGCTGACTACTCAAGCTTTGAGGAAGCCAAGGACAAACCCAACGGGCTGGCTGTGCTGGCTTTCCTCTATGAGGTAGGTGGGATGCCCAGCATTGTCCAGCCCATCAGATCTGCCATAGCATTTGTTCTCTTTATCCCCAAGTTCATCAATTAGTCCCCCCCAGCTGATCAGCAGAGCAGAAGGACAGGCAGGTCACGAAGCTTTTGATCAAGGTTTCTGTGCTGTGTTTAGGATGGGCACTTTGAGAACACCTACTACAGTGAGTTCATCTCCAAGCTGGGAAGAATCAGGTTTGCAGGTAAGACCTGGGAATGCCTTTCTCCATCCCTGACACTCTCAGAGCCTGTCTGTAGGTGCTGGGTCTGGGGACAGACATTTTCCTGCTGCTTTGCTGGCAGTCCCATGGCTGAGCATCCTCAGCCATGCCCAACTCCACACCATCCCTGCCCACGTGGCTCCAACAGCAGCAGGGTGGGAGGGGAAGGTGCTCAAGGCAGCAGTAAATCCACTCCTGGTAGGTCTGCAGCACCAAAGAGCAGCTCCCTGCAGTCTGTACACCCACTAATACTCTTTGCTTCCTGGGAGGACCAGCAGGTACTGGCAGAGCACTGGGGTGAAGGTGCCCACCAGCCCCAGGACCCAGGTACCTCCAAATGACAGACCTGGACCCACTGAAAAGGCCATTCCTTCCTCTCCATCTCCATCCCTTCTGCCAAAGGCCTGATAAACCAGTGCTTTGGGCAGAGGGCTTTGCCACCCCAGCTCTGACAGCGCTCCCACCTCTCTCTTCACTCCCCATTAATTGCTGATGTTGCCTCTCTGCTCCCCTTTTGAGGTCAATCAACAAAGCTCAGCTCTCTGGATGTCCAAGCCATGCTGCCAGAAAACCTCTCACACTTCTACAGGTACCAGGGCTCCCTGACAACCCCACCCTGCTCTGAGAGTGTGATCTGGACCATCTTCCACTCTCCCATTGTCTTGTCACACACACAGGTAAGTGGTAGCTGTCACCAGCTGCTCTTTCCTCTGTGCTTAACCTTTCCTTTTCTGCCCTCTAGTGATTTTGGGAGCAGCCTGACAGGTGAGATAACGTGGCATGTCTCATTTTGGGATAGATTCCTAAGCAACTGGAATTACAGGTGGCTGTGATGACACCGTGGTGCCACATCACAGCAAGGGTCAGGTGCTGTAGAGCAGCAGGTCTGGTGACTGATAACAAAGTTCTCTAAGCTCACCCTGAAGCACTATAAAAAGGAAGTGGCCAGTCAGAATCAACAAGGCAAAAACTACTGTAAGAGAGTCCCCCCCCAAAAAAACCCAAAACAACCTCAAAAGAGCCATTCATAACATTAATTACAGAATAATTGGCACGTTTTTATACAGTATTTCAGGATTTTTCCTTGTCTAGACTTACATTGCTTTTAAGTCAATAAAGAAGCATTAGAAACATTTTCTTCTTGGAGAAGAGCAAGATAAAATCGAGACTCCAGCAGAGGAGGATCACTGTGTTCTCTTTGAAAAAGAAATACTCTTTCTGGCAGGGGGAAGGCTGGAAGGCACTTGTGAGAAAGCTACAGCACGGCAGCAAAAATCTCCATGCATGCATTACCATCAGGTGTTCAGAACTTCCCTCAGGCAAAAAAAATATCTCTGTCATGAATTAGCTGATAAGAGCCCTCACATTGCATTCCTTTCTCTTGCTAATGCCTGGTGAGAGGCCCTGAGGATCCCTCTGGAACAGGTTGCAGGATTTTCCCTGCGCTTTTTTAGGCACAACAGCCCCTTCCCACTGCCCTCCTAAAGATGCCTGTGTTCCTGCCAGATCAGCCTGCTGGAGAGCACCTTGCTGGACTGGGAGAACAGGACCCTGCGCAACGACTACCGGCACGGCCAGCCCCTCCACGGGAGGGTGGTGGAGTCCTCCTTCAGAGCCAGACCCCCCCAAGGTAAGGGCTCAGCAGGCAGGACTTGGGCTCACCTGGGGAGGGGCAAGAAACCTGCGTGGAAAGGCGTTCAGCTGCGAGTTTAGGTGAGCTGGAGATCGGCTTTCCCAGGAGCAGCGGTGTCCCCGCACGGGTGGAGGTGTCCCCGCACGCCTCCTCTTTCCCTGCCAACACACTTCACCCCTGAAGGTGCAGTGGTGGCTGCGGGGTATGTGCCAGCCAGTATTTTGACAGTTTTGGCTGTCACACACATGTCCAGGGTACCTGGTGATAGGTGGCACCACAAAAGGACCCTCAGCTCGGGTGTGTCTGTGCCCAGGTGGGTGAGGTGTGTGAGCAGCCAGGCTGGCACCACACAAAGCAGAGATGCTGCGTTTCAAAACAAAGGTTTTCCCCAGACTAGAAGATCTACCGTGTGTAGGTGTCCTGGCCTTCTGTAAATTCAGCTGTCTGATTGCTCTAGCACAATGCCATCCAGAGGAGTTCACCCTCAGACTGGATCAAATCCAGGCGCAGCTCCAAGACATGAAGACGGAGTTGCTGAATGGAGTGAGCCACCCAGGTAAGAACACGCAGCTGTGGAGTCCAGCTTATCCTGGGAGAAGGAAGAGCCCATGCCTTGATGGCCTAAATCATTGACAGGTTGGGTACTGCTACGTGCAGGCAGAATTTTGTCCCATATCTAGGCCTGCTGATGGAAATTCTTCAGTTAAAGCATTGTTGTGGCCAGCCCTGATCTAGGTACTCCCACAGCAACTGCAGCTTTCTCCTGCAACGTGGGAGCACATTTTTTACAAGCAGTGAAATGTTTAAGCTCGCAGTTCCCCCAGGATAAATAATCGTCACCTCTGTTTTATGCAGGATGAGAAAAAGAGAAAGAAGGAGGGAGAAAAAAGCAATTTTCCCAAACAGCTGGGTGAGAGAGCTCAGTTTTTCATCGTTGCAAGCCCTTTCCCTGTTGGCACAACACACACCAGTAACTGTGGCTCAAGACAGCTCAGACTACGGGTGCAATTCTTCAGGATTTGGGTTTATTTACAGGCACGGCAGGAAATGTAACCGGTGGCTTTTTGGTTCTTCCAGGTATTAAACCCAGCGCTTTTCCAGCTTTCTACTTCCCCGTGGAAAACATTGAGAGCTCTGTGGATGTCCATCCCCTCCGTGCCATGTCTCTCCAAGCCTTCACCTTGTGCTTCTGGGCCAGATCCCAGCACTCCGGGAGCCAGACCGTCCTGTCCTACTCCACGCGGGAGAGGGACAACGAGCTGGTGGTGACCCTGGGCACAGAGGTGGGACTGTGGATAGGAGGCCATTTCATCAGCTTCCCCCTGCACCACAAGGCCCAGGACTGGCTGCACTACTGCCTGGCGTGGGCCTCCCAGCCGGGAACGGCCAGCGTGTGGCTCAACGGAGCGGCCGGCAAGGCGGTGAGCATCCAGAAGGGCTACGTGAGCCAGCCCGGAGGGATGCTCGTCCTTGGGAAAGACAGAGACACTCTCCTTGGGACGTTCTCCAATGGGTTTGCAGGGTGGATGGCTCAGGTGAACCTGTGGAGCCACGTTCTCAGCCCTGCCGAGGTTCGGGCGCTCGCGCTGTGCAAGCCGGGGAGGCCACAGGGGGACGTCGTAGCCTGGGGACAAACCCCCATGGCCCTCCTCGGGGGGGTGGTTCTGGAGGCTGACACCAGCTGCCAGTGATTCCCAGCTGCTGGTTGTTTGTTTTTTTTTAATTAAGGCATCAGAAGAATCTGAACTGCCTGCTGGGGAAACTGAGAAGAATCAGGATTATTAGCTTGTTTCTCCCTCTGCTTTGTGGTGGGCTCGCCATGCACCTGCTGCTGCTCCAGGGTGTCTGTCCAAGAGAGCAAAGCCTCCCTCAGTGGGATAGAGGCGAAGAACAGCAGAACTTGAGGCACAGTCCAGCACCTTGGGCTGTCACACCCCTCACAGGAATTTTAGATCCCCCTACCTAGATCCTTCGTACCAAAGAGCTGCTCTCCTTGGTCAAAGGAGCCACTTTCTCAAATAAAATTTCTATCCCATCCTTCACCCAAGTCTCGCTTTCTCACCATCCTCCCTGCACATCTCTTTCTTTCTGTTTGTTTACCACCATCAACTCAGCACCCTTCCCCTGCAGACACATCACAGGGGAAAAGGGATGTAGAGCAGCTCCTGTGCAATCCTTGTTCCTTGGCCAGGGACAGCCCTTTGCCTTCTCTTCTGTGAGGGATGTAGAGACAGAACACGAAACCAGTTTCTTTTTTCAACACCTATATCACAAATTTGAGGGCAGGTATAAATCCAAATTTTCTAAGGTTAAAGTCAACCGTGTGAAGGGCTCTCCATCAACACCACCAAATCCACGCCAGGCTGTTCAGCAATTCTGCTTTTTTCAAAACAGAGGGCAGCACCCTCAGATAACAACTTAACTTTAGTTTCCCCGTGCTGGACCCTCAAATACACGAGTGACAGTTCCTCAGAGGAGTGTGGTGCACTCATTGAACGTGCCTGACCCAAACCCAGCCCCAGGGCTGGCCTGTGTCTCCCGAGGAGTGTCAGTCAGGACATCAGGGACACTGGTTACCTGGTGACAGGAACTGAGCTGGCTGAGGACACTGTCCTTTCCTGGTGACAAGAGGTGGAGCTGGCAGCGTTAGGTTTGCACCTGGACTCGATCTTAAAGGTCTTTTCCAGCCTTAAGGATTCTATGATTCTCAGAGCAGTATCAAAAATGCTGAATCAAAGGATTTGTTTTCCCGCTGAACAGATGCTGAGGGATGTCCCTGCCAGGCCAGGCACTGGGCTGGCTCACAGCTGGCTGCTGGAGCTCATCGTCCTCTCCACCAGCCCGCCCGGGGCAGTGCGGAAATCCTTCAGCTCCTCTTTGTTTTCCTGAATCTCCACTTTGTTCCTCTTGGCCATGATCCTGTTGATTTCCATGAAGGTTTTGTTCTTGGTCTCGGGAACGATGAAGAAGATGTAAAGCGCGGTGGCCAGGCAGATGGCACAGAAGATGAGGAAGCTGTAGGGCCCCAGGCCAGCCTAGGGCAAGGACAGGAGAGAGCAGGGATCAGGGAAACATTCCAGGTGGGCAGTTACATGGCTTGGACACGGGGAACCCTGCACTGGCCATAAAAAATGCAGCCATGGTGGTGTGCACGTATTTTGAGCTGAACAACTCGAAGTTGGGGTGGATTCTGTCTTCTCGTACCACCACCGTGGGCTTATTGGGAACACCATGAATTTGCTGGAAAAGGAGGGTGAATCGAGCTAATTCAAACTAAACCTAACTGAGCTCCCCAGCTCCCTTTGCAGAGGCTGAAGTGAGCACCTGCTGCAGTTTACAGGTCAGTGATGGGGATCAGTTTGAACTGGGGGATGCAGAGATCAAAACTAAAATTGGCCTCCTGAGACACACACCTGCCCCATCCCCCAGGGGAAGATAGATGGGGAATTTGCCATCTTTTCACGCTCCTGAGTTCAGGATGAGACATTCAGCTGGCAAGGTAACTGCTTTCTTTTAAAGCCTGTGCAGCAGACAGGGGTGATAAGAAAATGCTGATTGAACATCAGTTTCTTTCCCTTAACATATAATCCTACATGCAGGTACTGGGAACCAACAGGGGCGTTTGCAGCTTTTGGGATTAAACAGGGGTGAAGGGACTGATCTTGAGCTGAAGTGTTGCCCTGTTGTGGGGTTGTATCTCACCTCCATGTAGAGGAACACAAGCCCCACGGTGAAGTTGCTCAGCCAGTGCACAGACCCTCCCACCATGAAGGCTGCAGGCCGGGACGACTGCAGGAACATCTCGGTGATCATGACAGAGGGAACCGGACCTGGAAGGCAATTTGGACATTTGGAAATCCCAAGGGCAGTTCCTCCACTCTGAATTCTTAATTACAGTGTTGTTTGTTTGTTTGTTTGTTTTTTCATTTCAACCATTTGTTTAAATGTTCAAAACGTTCCAAAAAAATGGTCCAACCATTTCAGTGGCAGGCAACAGCTTCTAACTACTAAGTGTTTAGGAGCAGACAATAAATCAAATAAGGATTAAATAAAAGAACAAACCCAAAACCAACCAAACAAAAAACCAGGGCAATTAAATGACTTGCACGGTGTGTGGCCACACAGAGATGAAATTCAGTGCCCATGGATGAGCTCCACAAAGGTTTTGGGCTGAAATGGAACATAATCCTTGGCTTCAGCCAGCTTGAGGAGCAGCCTGGACAGGCTGTGCATACTTACTGGGTCCCACAGCATGTCCAATGATGTAAACAATGACACACGCTATGCTGAGGTAGGACATCCAGGACACGGTGGTCTGCAAAGGATTGAATCACGGGTTAGATGTGGTTCCCACCTGAACACCCCCAACACATTCAAGGTACTACTTGTAGTAAGATTTGAAGGCGTTCTAAAGCCAGTGTCGCCCTCCAACGCCAGATATGTCCATAATGAGCCACAAAATCACAGCCTGGGGATGATCCTTGCTGCCAATAAATGGGTATTAGGAACGTGACACACTGGAAGCAGTGTTCAGACAAGCAGGATCACAGCTTTTCAAGTTGTACTTCAAAATATACCCCTGGCCTGCTCCCTGGGAAGTCCAGAGATGCCTGGGAAGGATCACCCTGAGCCATCTGTACACACCTGGAGGTTGAGGGCCAAGGTTAACACGGCACAGGAAGCACAGCACAACGCGAAGCCGGCGAGGAGAAGGATCCTCCTCCCCAGGGATTCCACAATGAAAACCTGGAAGAGACAGGAGAGGGTGAGAGACCCAGCACCTGGGCTCTCTTATTCCAGGTGCCCTCAACCAAGGGTCACCACAGGGCACCTGCTGTGCAAAGCACCTCACACCACCTGCAAGTAACATTCCAGTGGGAGGTTTCCCTGCCCAGGGCAGAGGGTTGGAACGAGGTTGATCTTTTAGGTCCCTTCCAGCCCAAATCGTTCTGGGATTCTCTGGTTTGATTAATATAAATTAGACAGACACAGGCAGGGGAGAGTGGACAAGTCAGAGCTCAGAGAGCCCCAAGAGAAACTCACAGCAAGCAAAGTCATGACGACGTTGATGGCACCTATGGACACAGTGACGTACTGGATGCTGTTGCTGGGCACACCTGCTGACTCAAAGATCCTGTCGGCGTAGTAGAAGACCTGCAGCAAAACCACAGCTGTGTCTGTGTGTGGCCAAGGGCAGAACATGGGAATCCCATTCTGGCTGCTTTACATCCTGTCACTGGTGCACTTATTTTATTTCTGGAGACGTTGTTGTTTGGATCCAGGCCCAAGCACTCCAAAAACATCCAAATTATCCTTAACAGGACAGCCTGACCCTGCATCTGTATATGACCCTGACCCTGTACCTGTCTGTGCTGGATTTGGTACTGGCCAGGGTCAACCCATCACAACATGGACCAGTGTCCTGGGTGAAGGGGTACTCCTGGGTTTTGTCTCCTGTGTCAGCACTGCCCCACATCATCAACTTCATCCATCCCTTCCTTTCTTCCCCACTGCCTTTCCCGCTTCCCACTCACCCCGTTAACCCCGGAGAGCTGCTGGCCCATCATCATGACAATGATGGAGATGAGCTGCCACCTCAAGCCTCTGAAGGTGCACAGGCTGAGCACAGAGAACTGCCCTTCTTCCTTTTCTGACTGGCCCTCTTGGAACATTTCTTCTATCTCGTCATCCACGTCATCCCAGCCTCTCAGCCTCCGCAAGGCTAGTTGGGAGAGGAAAGTGAGTTTTACAAGTGAGCTCTGCTGCTCCCAATCAAGACACAACAATAGGTAGCTCTGGGCAGCAGGGCTGGAGATCCACACGTGCAGAGAAAGGAGCAACATTGCAAGAATTCCACCTCCACCACCAGTGAGGAATTTTGCGCTCTGCTGTCAGTCACGTCCCCTGGTCAGATCCACCCTGTTCCATCTCCCCTTCCATCAAAAGGATGACACTGTACCTCGTCGTGCCTGCTCTTCGTTGCCCTTTTGGAGCAGCAGGTACCTGGGACTCTCGGGGAAGAAGGGCAGCGTCAGGAGCTGGATCAGCGATGGGATCCCGGTGAGCCCCAGCAGCACAGGCCAGCCTGAGAGCAGGGGGACAGGGGAACAACTGTGAGCAATCCCGCCCTTGTGGAGCCCCCAGCAAAGTCCCCAGGCAGAGCCTCACCTTCAGCATTCCCCAGGATGCTGTTGAGGCCAAGGATCTGAGCCACAAGGATCCCGACGGTGATGAAGAGCTGTGGGACAATCCCAATGGCCCCTCTGAGATTCCGGGGGGACATTTCTCCAAGGAACATGGGAACCACGTTGGAAGCCAGGCCTGGCAGCGAGAGAGCAGTGTTAGATGTGCAGCTGCCTGGTGTCAGCACGCTCACAACCTTCAGCAAGGTGCTGTTTTCCCATGAGGGGCAAAAGAGATTCATGATGAACCGAGCACATGTAGAGACTGTCACACTCAAACCCTTCTGCTCCAGCTGAAGATTTAAGGTCACCTTCTGGCCAGTGAATAGGCTTTGCGTGTTTTCCTCACTCTCAGGGGAAGAGGGGACTAAAAACATGTGGCACTGGGTACAACATACACTCAGTATGTGGAGAGGTACAACATCCACTCCTGCCTCTGGTGCCCTCAGGGGCTCTGGCCCTGGAGTGCAACCTGCCCATCTCCTGGTGCTCTGGGTGTCAGGATTATTAACTGCTCAGCAGCAAAGCATTTGAGGAGTCAGAGGGTGAGCCCACAGAGCCAGCAGATGATTTGAAGGCTCTGTGTTCACCTTCCTAAAAGCAGCTTTCTCCCAGCAGGCACTTCAGCACAAGACACACAGAGGAAAATTGTGTAAGGGAGGAACTTTCACCTCCTTCAAAACAAGGAAAGAAATCAGTATCCAACCAAACTGGTGTGAGGGTGGAAGGAAACAACTCCATATTGGCCTTTAGAAACTCGCTGCTCAGAGAGCTTTGCTGCTCTGAGACGTGTTGCAGGTGGAGTGCTGGAACAGGGATTTCTAATCCAGCCAGGGCACCGAGGGCACGGGTTATTTTTAGGAACCTTACCCGCCTACCCATGGTAACCCCAGCGAGCTGCCAGCTCCCTGCTTGCTCTGTAAACCCTGGCACGCAAAACCCAAACTCCTGGGGTCAAATGACCATGTGAGGCTCTCATCTGACATTTCTAGAGGTCCTGGGCTTCGGGAGCTTGGGGTTACAGAGGTGACCAAGCTGCTATCTGAAAGCTAAAAGGCATGGAAACAAGTGTCACCAGTGCTGGGGGGTGGCACTTGGATCCTCCTGGAGGGTGGCACTTGGATCCTCCCAGATTCCAAGGCAGCCTGGTTGGGCTCAGCAGCTTCCCTCCCCAGGAAAAACATCCAAGCTTGTCCAGGTCAAGCTAAGGACAAGTCGGGACACAGCCAGTCCAGATTCCTTTGTCGGTTATAAATAACTGGAAAGAGGGATCACACTTAACAGGTCCCTCAGCGTTTATTCTGAGCTCCAATGCTAAGAGCAGCTGCCAGGTTCAGGTGAGTCAAAAGCCAAAATAAAACCACTGGAGGAGATAAACTGGAAAACAAGAAGCTGCCCGAGGAAAGCAACTTAATGTGTAACGTGCAGCAATTACAGCCACTGAGCTAAGGCAGGAAATTTATCTTTACAGGATATCCCAACTCACTAATAAATCGTGGAACACGTGAATCTCGCCAGCCCAAAGCCAATTAATTGAGCCTAAATGCCCTTAGGACTCTTACAGACCTGGTTCTGCCCAGCCCTGCACGGGGTACCCAGAATTCCAGGGTTCTGTTTGTTCCCTGTTACTGCAGCTCTAAAAAAAGCCACTTACACCAGCAACACACTTATATCCTTGGCTTCCCACTATCTTTGTAGTAAATCCAGTGTCTCTGAGCTCTTTGTTTCTCCCTTTTAACAGCTCTTTTCTCCTGCAGGAAGAACAGTCAGTTCCAGAAGTGGATTATTGGATGTGGCACTGATTCCAACGACTTTGATGGATTATTCTGACTATGTTAAAAAGGGGGGAAAAACCCCAAACAACAAAAAAGACTACCTGCTTTAAGTTATTTGGGGAAAGAGATTATCAGCAGCAGGTTTCCTGGCTGTGGGAGCTGCAGTGCCTAGCAGTTGTTTATTGCAGAGGGGAGGTTCACCTACAGGCACACATCTCTCTGCACATCTTAAATTCCACTCTCAGGCACCTTATCTCCAGGAGACCTTTAGTACTTCTGCAACGTGCAGATGACCAGTGCTAAAGCACAGCATTGCCAGGCAGATGCTAAAATGTGCTGCCTGTGAGAGCATCTGCTGGGAGAATAAAACACCTTTACACAGCCGAGAAAACATTTATGGCTCTCTCTTTACCGTGCACTTACCAGCATATATTCCCATGATGAAACGGGAAAGGATGATTGCTTCAAAGGTTTTTGCTAGCTCTGAGGTTCCCATGAGGATTGCAGCACAGATGGAGAAGAGGTTATTTATCAGCAAAGTGCCCTTTCTGCAAAGTAACAGAAAAGGAGACGTTCAGTTTGGGTTTTTAAGGCCCCAGGTGCAATGCTGTCCCAAACCCTAAGGACTCATCATCCCAAAGACTGATCCAAGAGAAAATGCCAATTGTCCCATTTTTCCTGCAGGGAATGGAGGCTTCCAGAAAGAACTGAAGTTTCTCAGGAACTCTGAGCAGCAGGAGCTTCTGGGCTTGGTCTCAGCCCAGCACTCCCATGACTGCTCTCTGCCTGGCTCAGTGCCCAGCACACAGCCTGGCCCTGACCATCCTGAAACCATATAAATTCCTTCACCCTGGGGAGACAACACGTGTAGGTGAGCCCAGCAACTCATCCTCATCCCATCTGCTTTACTGCCAAGGGGTGTGTGTGGGAAATTCATCCTCCTGCTGGGCTGGGCAAGCTGGAGTGACCGGTGAGTCCAGCCTTATCTGAGCCCAGTAAATTATGGGTGAGATCCCAGCCACGGCTGTCACGTACCTGCCACAGTTGTTGACCATGGGCCACACCAGCAGGGACCCAAAAAAGCCACCCAGGGGGAACATGGACACAGTAAGAGACCAGAGCAGTGTCTGGAAGCCACTGTTCATGGGCACCCCAGTCCTGTCCAGGTAGGTTTGGTTGTAAAAGTCTTGCATGTACTGGAATGAAACACAGAGCACGCTGAGCACAGCAAGGACAGTTTTCGTGCTGTAAAAGCCAATTAACAACAAACGCCATAAAGCTTTAAATGAATGCCTTGATAAAAAAAAAAAAACAAACCAGAATGGGTGAGTGGGAAAAGGGATGCAGGAGAGGGATAGAGAAGCCTGGACTAGGGAACTGTTACTGCAAGTGATCCTGACTTGCAGGCTGTGCCTGGTTCCCAGAGGGGGAGGCATTTCTCACAGTTCATCTCTCCTGAGCACAGAGCACAAGCACCTGACCCCAAAACCCTGTAATGAACTTGTTCTGTTTGTCAACCTCCTCCTGAGTGTGTTTGCAAACCCACTCCTGCGTCAGGGGCTGCTCCACAGACCAACCTACCGGGGCTGGAGAGTTGATCACGGACACGTTGTAGCCGTACTGGAAAGAAGATCCAAAGCCAGATATCAGAGCCACCAGGGCAAGGAGAATTGTCATTTTCTGTGGAGGGGAAAGAAATCAAACAAACCCCGCCTTAGAAGCAGGTCTGGTTCAGAGGCATTAATGACACTCAGTAAAAATAAAGAATTACCTTAAGTCTTGCTTTTTTATGTTTTTTTCCGTTAATTTAACTGCATAGGAAAGCCCAGTGGGTTGTTTTCATTACGACTCGTTTTTGTTCTGCTTGATTTGCACATAGTCATTACAATAATTCACTCTGCTGGTATTGATGAATCATTTGGATGATTAAATTTTTGGTTTTTTTGAAGCTAACATCCTTAAAATACCGCCCCACAGGGAAAAAAGGTTGTAAGCAATTATTCTTTTTCCAACATGCAAATTGGGTAGGGAAATAACACAGGATATTGGCACAGGAAAGCTTTAAAAAGAAGTGATTTTGCATCAGGTGGCAAAATCCCTTTCCTGTTAATTTTTTTCCGCTTCTCACATTTTGGGACCAAGCTTTTTATGGATCTAATTGATCATCACTGAAGCCAATTAGAACTTATCCAAGTAGCTCGGTGAGGGCTTGGCTGTGGGGTACAAGAGCTGCACTTTGCAGTTAACCAGGAGAGTGAAACTGCCATCTGGAGAGGGATCAAACACCACGTTTGTGGGTACACAGTGCTCAGGGTTACAAACAACCTGCTTTTCACAATAGTTTAGTTGCTGTTCAGCCCTGGGCTGTGTTGACAGAGTTGGGTTGTTGGGTTTTTGTTGGGTTGGTTTTTATAGCTCACTAATGCATCTCCTTGCTGCTACATCAATAAAGTCATTTTCCATTCAGATGCATTTTCTGTCTCCACCTCCTCCAGCCTCAATGCCTGCAAGGTTTTATGTCCCAGCGCTCAGCTCAGGTCCCACATGAGGGACCTGTCACTTCCCCAGCTGAACATTTGCCCAAATACCTGCTGGTGCTTCTTTCTATTCCTCAGAATCTGCAGGAGCTCATCTAAGGCATTGCAGGAGATCAAAATTCAGCTGGATCTCAGAGTAAGGAGCACGAGGAAGCTGAGGCTTCCCGCCCCATTTTCTAGGAGCAGACTGATGACATTCTCACACTGGTGATGAAAAGCAGCTGCCTTACTCTCATTAAGCAAATCCCAGAAGCTCAGAAGAGCCAATGGTGCTTGTCATACACATTCAGCCCTTTTAGGAAAACCTCTGGCACACAGGAAAGTTGTGCAAGACTCCACAAACACTGCTGTGAAAGGCAGCCCCCACCCAGAAAACTAAAACTGCAGCCTCAAACTGATGAGACAATAGGAATGAAAACTCACACACAGAAGGGGGAAGTCACACACAAGTTACAGGGTGGGTGAGCTGCAGACAGAGAGGAAATCACAGCACTCAGTGCAACACTGCCCTGCAGACAGACATAAACAGGGCTCAAGAATGTACTTGTCTCTGCCCTCCCTGTGGATTTGTCAGCCCAAAATATCTTCCCCCTTCTCTACAGGCATCCAGAGATTTCCAAGAGCTTGCTCTGTGTCTCTGTGGGAGGCTCAAGCTGGAAGCAGAGAGTCAACAATACTCACCCCCTTTGCACCCTCGCTGCGCTCAGAGCTCTCCTGCTCCCCTCCTTTCAGCTTCATGTTGGCGTTGGAATCCCACATGCGGCGTTCGCAGTGCAGGTTTGTGCAGCCCAAACGACCAAGGCAGGGGATGGAAACGCCCCCAGGCAGAAAATCCCCCTCTGTGACTCTTCCAAACACATCCAATCACTGACAGGCTCTATCAGCTGGAGCAAGTCCCTGCTGCCTGACCATTCTTCGATTCCTTTCCCCTTGCTCGAGCCTGTCGCTGCTGGGTCGGGTTTCTGTCACCAGAACCTGTTTCAAACAGATGTGCTGCCAGTTACAGGGGAAACAGGCTCATCTCCTGCGGGAAGGGGCGGATTTGTTGCCCAGGTTGCTAAGTGAGCTGGTTCATAGATGTGGGAGAGGTGGATCTACAGCACAGAGCTGCTGCCCCTTCAACCTGCAGCCCGTGGGCAGCTGTGGGTGGCACAGCTGGAGAGGCTGCCCAGCAGCTGTGGAATTCAGGGAAAACCAGGGCATTCTGAGGGAGCAGCCCCAGCAACAGAGAGGGCGTTTGCCATATGGCACAGCCATACAAGTGAACCCCATTAACCCCCCTGCAGCCACAAGTGGCACCTGCCCTGGGCCCCAGACACTGCTCCTTGTCCTACCTTGCTCAGGCTCTTCTGCAGTTCACAGGTTCATCCTCTCAGAGCTGTGGTTTTGACAGCGCAGAAATTTTCCACCAGCACTTTGTGTTCCTTTCCCTCCACATGCAAAAGGAGCAGCACGTGCTGCTGGCTCGGCATTAACCTCCTACCTTATGAGATTGCCCTGAACAGTCCAGGGCCTGGTTAATGGTCGACTACAATTTATGGAGTTCAGCAGAGAAATGCAAAGTTCACGGATGGCCCCAGCAGCTGGAGAGAAACCAAGCCTCCTGTTAATTGGTCCAGCTCCCTTTAATAGCCAGCCTAAAAACCCACACCCTCTTGAGCAACAGCTCTTTTCCACGTGTCCTGCTTGTGTTCCTTAACTGGCTGTCTTGGGCAGCAGCTCTTTTCCACGTGTCCTGCCCATGTTCTTTAACTGCTGCAGCCTCCCTCCCTCCACGTGGAAGGGGACAGAGCCCATGCTACTTTTGGAGCAGAATTTCTCTTTCATTGCCTTTGTTATCTATGAGTAACTCTAAGGACACAGCGCCCTGAGATATCTGATGGTGGATCCCACCTTAAGAAAGCTCCTGTGTCACAGCTGCTGAGATTACAGCTCAGTCAGCAACTGGTGGCGTTCTCACCCTCACAGATCTTTTGCCAAGAGGGAAAATTCTGCCTTAGGGGTGGGAAAATGGAAAAAAAAAAAGTCAATTTTCCTTCATAGAATTACTGGTCTTTAAAGACAGCGTCATTTTGCTGGAACCTCTTGGCAGAATGACAACTGCTCTGACACTCAGTAATTGTAAGGAAGGAGAATTCTCTGTCGTGGTCTTTAAATTCCTTTCCTGAAGAAATAATCTTGAAACATGCAGAAATCAAAGAATACATGTAGGTTTGCCATTGGAAATCCTACATCAGACTAAATATGTGCTTATGGCAGCAGAACAGGTTGAGGATTTGCCAAACACAGTAGGAATCTGATCACATCCCTGAGGTAGTAATTGGCACTGGGATGACCTTGGAAGAGACTGATGAAGGGAGACAGGGTGGTGAATGATCTTCCCCTGGGACTTTCAAAGCAATTGCAGGGGTGTGACACCTTCAGCACTTGAGATCCTGTTGGACTTGGGCACAGGACAGAGGCAGGAAGAAGCAAAGAGCTCATTTTACAAGCATTTGAAAAGCACATTTTCCATTTCAGCTTCTGCACAGCACTGGGCTCCTTCCATCTGCCCTTCATCCCAGAGAGTGTTTGCCTGAAGACATTAACTCACCTCTGGATCTTCTCTCCTCTGCACTTGCCCACCACGTGGCAAGAGCTCCCAAGCACTTGTGCAGGGATTTGTTTACACTCACAGCCCAACTGTCTGTGCTAAAAGCTGAGTCCTATGAAACCCTGGTATCTTTGGGGGTGAGGGGGAAATTAATTTAGTTTTCAGGACATCAAATCTGCTGGAGAACTTCAGTGGTGAGCTCCAGGAAAGCACTGGTTGGATTAGGAGCTGGCAGGCAGCCGTGCTGCAGAGTGTGCTCACTGCAATGCCTGCCCTGAGGGGGCTTGTTAGGAGACATCCCACACCAAGAGAGTGACATCAGCAGCCTTTCCACCTGCACTTTGGGAAGGAATTGCGTGTTCAGTCACGGCTCAGGTATCATATGCAGTCCTGAGCATAACCTGGGGCACTGAGCTACAACTGGAGCCTCAAGCTGAAGTGATGAATTAAGAAAGAAATAAATTATTTGCCTGGAAATAAGTCATATGTGCAAACACTGCTTTATCAGCTGCATAAAAGGCTTCCAGTCAAGTGAGCAAGAGGCAGATATGGCAGTCTGATCCCTCAGGAATAGGAACTCTGCAGGGAACAGCAGCAGGCATGGGGCTTCTGGAACCGAGAAGCAAATGAGACCCTCTTTTCTCTGAACAAAGGCAATGCTGGGCAGGGTCCTGGTAAAGAAACAAAACTTTATTTTCTACAGGTCGGAGAAATACTTTAAACTCAGGCAAATGAGGAGCCGTAAATAAGGTAAACCATTATCTGCAAGTAGCAAACAAAACCCTGTCCCCTCCCCACGTCTGATGCAACTCTCCCAAAGCAGGAACGGACTGCAGCCTTCAGCACAGAACCTCTGGAGCTCAGGGCACTGGCCAGGCACTGCTGGGAGGGCTGTCCTTGCTGGAGGCTCTGGGGAACACCCCTGAGTACCTGGATGAGGAATAAACCATGCAGAGGAACCCTCAACCACCACCACCAACCAAACAAACACGTTTGTTTGCACATTGTTGTGTTGTCCGTGTTCCAGTGAAGAACAGGAGCCAGCCTGGAGCTCCCAGGAAGATTCACACACTAGGACTGAAATCCATGCCCAGCACAGTCCCATTCAGCAGCTACTGAAGTTTTCCTGTCCTCGTGATATTCGCTCACCTCAGAACTCACCGCCCGGTTCGCCTCGTCAGGCAGAAAAGCAAAACCCCAAACCGATTTTTAAGATTTACAGTGGAGGGTGAGGGGAAGAAGGGGAGAAAACCAGGAAACTGGAGTACAGTCACACAGTCCCTTCCAGAGGATCCTAAGCAAAGTCGAAGACCGAAGCCTTTGGTACGTGAGTGCAAGGAGGATTGGGACCTTTTCCGTCTGCTCAGCCTCTCCAGCGGCGCCTTCCCCAGGGCTTTAGCTCCCTCTGTGGGACTCCGGGGTGATCCCACACCTGCACAAAAGGAAGCACAGTTACAGCCCAGGACTGTCCCCCCACCCTGCAGCCTTTGCACAGGGCCTGGCCCAGCCTGTGCCAGGTGTGCCCCGAGCCAGGGGAAGAGGCTTTGCTGCAGCTCCAGCCCCAGGGGTGTCACCTTGGAGCAGCTGGAACGGGCGTGATGGACCCATTCCTAAAGCCCAGCCTGGCACCACAACCTCAGCCACCTCCAGAAACACCTGAGCTGGAATTCCCCAGTGCATGCCTGGCAGGGGAGAGATCAGAGCCGTCTCCACAGGCGCCTGAGGCACCTGCCCTGCACTCACACCTCATCCAGAGACCAAGGGGTACCTGCCAGGAGCAGCCAGGCACTTCCACACGTCACCTCCCCTATCAGCCCATCTCCCTTCATATTTAGGCCACCCTCAGCTTCAGTGTTAGGACCCACAGGCATTTCTAAGAGGTCCTCTGTTGGCTGTTTTCCTTTCTCTGCCCTTGCTGACAGGAGGATGTCAGAGATGTCACAGACTTTCCACTGTGGCCCCTCGCTGGTGTTTACAGCCCAGCGTGCTTCCCTGAAACCCCTGGAGCTGGAACCGTGTTCTGGTGAGCTGCACATTCCTTCAAAAGCATTTCTCAGAGCTCTGTAATGGAAAAAGGCAAACTGAGAACATGGAATCTGTTTTGGTTATTTTTTTTGTGTGTGTTGGGTTTTTGTGCGTGTGTTTTGCTTTGTTTTCCCTTAAGCCAATTTGGTGACAATTTTACTTCCTCTCTTCAGGGCTGGCTCCAAAAACCAGAACACAGCATAACTCCAAGCCTCATAAAATTCAAAAATTACTATCCTGCCTTTCTACAAGAACTTTAACACAGCTCCTCTTTCCAGACCTCACGGGACTAACACGAAGCTGAGCTACCCAGGTTGCTATTTAGCTTTTAGAAGCTTAAAAAAGCCTTTTAAAAGGAGAAAAAAACCCACAACAAACCCTCTTGAAGTTATCTATGGCAAAGATAAGATGTTTCCACCTACCTCTCAAAGTCTCCAGGGATGTAAAGAGCAGAGCCCTTCTGCATCCCCTTTAAATGGGTTCTGAGCTCTTGAGAGCTTCACCTCCTGTGTTTACACAGCCTGTGCAGCACGGGGCTTAAATATACTAATATAATAATAAAGCTAATGCCAAGGCTTCAGGAAATAACAGGACCTGCCTCTGCCTACAGTCCCCTAAGAGCTCTGGATCATGTAACTGTTGTGCTTGCTGTTAACGTGACTAAAATAAACTAATAAGAGCAGCTTGGGAACAGCCAGGGGCCCGGAGTGGCTGGAGCCAGACAGCTTCCCTGCCTCCACACACAGCTCACAGGGCTCCTGGTCTGTTTGCAAAAACCTGGTGTACAAATCAAAAGTGTCAACTGATTGAAAAGAAGGAGCCCTGTGTGGTTTTTTGGGGGCTGTGTGGTCTAGGAGGAGAAGGAGGAGATGGACGCAGGAGAGGTCCAGCTCAGAGCCCTGCCATCCCCAACAGCCCCTTCCCTCCAGGATGCTCCTCCCCTGCCATCCCCGCTGGCCCAGGCAGGCAGCTCCTGTCAGCCTCAGCCCTTTGGACTGAGTGTGACCTGCAGGGTGAGTCCAACTGCAGGAACACAGATGGTTTCATACTCTCTCTGAAGAGGCAGTGCATCCCAGCTTACACAGCACTGCAAGGACCTCAGTGCCCCATCTTAAGAACTTCTGTCAAAATTTTGCTCCCAGAGACTTTCTAGGCAAGCTTGGGTGAATCACTTCCCCTCCTTTTCCCTTTCATGATGAGTGGCAGCAGGGATTGTGTTCCCTCACGAGCAAAACTCGGGGCACTGAACATCTGAACTGTGCAGTGCTGATGAAATGTGTGTGCACGTGGCACTCTACATCAAAAAAGAGCCACTCATTCCTCTTCTTCAGCTTTCACTGGTGTCCTGTCTTTCAGGCTCCAGTAACAGCTGGAGCAGCACCACCCCAGCTCAGGGGAAGGAGGGGTGGAGCAGTTCTGTAAATGGTTTAAGACCTGCAAAGTCAGACAGGGAATCCCCCCAGCAGCAGCAGAAACCTCCCCCTCTGCCAGCTGCCTACTGACAGCTGTGCCCACCCCTCGGACCACGAAGCACGGGCAGGGCAGGAGGAAAGACTCACACTGGGATTTCTTACCATGAAAGGAGGACTCGACACCGAGGTGGAGGCAGCTCAGGTGCTGGAAAGCAGTGGCTTTGTCTGCTCAGGGCCTGGCACATCCTTGTGGGGTTCTGGGCGCTGCCAGGAGCTGTTTGATCTCTGCCAAGGCCAGTCCAGCTCGTCGTGTTTGCAGCAGCAGATGAAGGAAAGCAGCCGAGCCCGGACCACCCGAGTGCAGAGCACAAACATGATGCAGTTGGCACCTCCCTGGAACGTGTTACCAATTCCCTGCAAGGGCAAGAAAGGAATGAACCAGTGCTGCTCCTCCAGGCACTCCCCCCACCCAGAGAAGAGCACACATCGTGTCAGACCAGCTGCATGACAGTCACCAACTTCACATCAACGAGAAAACAAATGAAAAATAAAGCTTTTTTTTCTTTTTTTCCGTGAAAAGGACCCAAAAAGCAGAGCAGAGAGCTGCTGTGGGCTGGCACTGCTGCAGCCTGGGGTAGGGCAGGAGCAGGCTGAGCTCTCCTGAGGGACAGACACCCAACATTCCTGGGCTGAGCTGATTCTGCAGGCAGCTGGCGCTGTCCATCCCTCCCCACTGCAGCTTTATTCTGCAGCCACTAGATGCTGCTGCAACAGCTACTGCTGGAATCGCTGCCCTTGCTGGAGTCATTGCTGGGGCTGAGCATCCCGGGCAGGGCAGCACTTGCCAGCAGGGAGCAGGTGTTCTCACAGCACAGCATCCTGTGACACGAAGAGCACCAAAACCTCATCTCCCTCCCACATCCTCCTCCCGATGCGTTTCCCGGCGAATACTCACATGCAGGACAACCAGGACTGAGTTTTGCACGGCAGGGGAGTTGCAGAGGGTCAGGATGAACCTCACAGTGCTCCAGATGCGGAGGAAGATGAAGATGACAGGGATGAGAACCAGCTTCTTGTCCGCTATGGAAGCCCGGGGCTGGAATGCAGGTGCCCCTGAGAGGATGGGGCGGTACTCTGAGAGAGCTGCGTGCTTCCAGGGAGGGGCAGAGAGAGCAAACATCAACAAAAACCCACACACACTGCACATTCAGCTCCAGGGATTCTTTCCAGAGCAAGCTAAATCTCTGCATCCTGCAGGAATTTAACAGGGGCTCGGCTGTGAGCAGTGGCCACACTCTGCCTCTGCGAGCACAAACGCTCCTGCTGAAGCCAGGGAGTGGCAAATGAGGGAGATCCAGCCCTTGCCAGAGTCCCACTAAAGCTTTATACTTGCAAACATCACTGGGTGATGTTTGAGACAGGTCATAAGAATATAAATAAAAACGTGGTGCTCCACAAAATAGTTTTGCTGCTTCAGCCAAAACACAGCCCAAGCCCTGCTCTGGTTGCCTATTGCTCTCCCTTGGAAGTGGGAGACTCCCTGCCAGTTCAGAAGCTCAGCAAGCAGCTCCAGGCCTGGCAAAGTCCCCAGGGATGAGGAGAGGGGGGAGATGATGGAGCTCAGAAAGCTCCACGAGGTGCTGCTCCAGACCCTCAGACCCCCAAGTGAGAGCAGGGACTGCTGCCTGCCCTTAGCTCTGCTCCCAGGACGGGCTCAGGGCTGGAGTGGGGAGGGAGAGCAGAGTTCCCAGGAATCCCTGGCAGAGCAGGAGCAGCAGCCCAGGCTTTTTTGGGGGGTCAGGTTTCCAGGAGGTCACACTTCTATCTTTGACAGCGGCTGGGACACGGTGTCCTGTCGGGGTTACGTCAGGTGGTGCTGACAGGCACGAGCAAACCCTTCCCAACTCCCCTTTCCCAGGACACTTTGGGCTGCTTAAAACTACCCTTGTTCTTCCAGCTCTGCCCTAAGCAGGTTTGTGTTTATCCCTTCCTGCAACTGCCACAGCTGCACCACAAGTGCAGCGGCAGCGTTTTCCTTTCCACGGGTGAGAGGGATTTTTTAACTCTAATACAACTTAGAGGAAATAAAAGGAATCCTTGAATGCAGTTCCTTCTGCCACTCTCAATCTAGATGTCTCTGTTATGCAAATGCTGTCCCAGATGCTTTAATTCTCTGTGTTCACAGGGAACAGCAACAACAAAGCTCTGAATTCCAAAACCCTGCCGGGCCAGGGTGTCTCCTGTGCAGTGTGTGTGAGGTGCCTATTGCCCAGACTCCCAAACAGTGCTTTATGCTGCCAGCACAAACCATTCATAAACACAGACTACCCTTTCTGATACTGCAAGGACTGAGGTTAGATAAGTCTGCAGAACACCGATTAAAGCGGGATTTTGTCCTTCACGCCCTGTTTCAATTCCTACCTAGGACTGAGCATTTCCCTCACGAACATCCCACGACCCCTGCTATGCTCTCAAAAGGCTTTTACATCCTTGTGCTAAGTCACTGTGTGGTGATGCTGCTCCCAGGGGTGGGGACACTGCAGGGTTGTGAAGCAATTCCTGCCTGTGCAGCTGCTAAATGTGGCCCAAAACCTGCAGAGCGTGGCAGGGCAGGACCACAGAGCGAGTCAGGAGGCCCAGCTGAACACAGCACAGTACTCACTGCTCTGCTGATGTGCTTCTTGATGAGGATGTAGAGCACTGGCAGGGTCACGTAGGCCAGGATCTCCCAAACCTTCCCCGTCAGCAGCATCCACAGGACACGATCCTCGGCATCCAGGTTGACCCAGCACCAGCCCACAGAAACGTTGGAGGCATCGTAGCCAATCTTCTTCAGGGCAACAGCAGCCACCGTGATGGCAAGGGGGACACCCCAGCTGAGGAGGGAACACAGAGAGCAAGGTGAAGCCAAGATCACCCTGGGTTTAGTCCCTCCCCACACCTCAGCTCAGGGATTCTTCATCAGCCAGGATGCCAATACCTGTTCCAGACATCAGCACTCCTGTGTCAGGCTGAAGGGAAGTGGCTGACAAACAGACAGTGTACGGATGTGGACTGCAAATCCCACTTCCTAAGGACCCACTACAGGGATTTGGATCCCCAGGCCTGAAGGACAGATGTGTAATGATGTGCTACACTCTGACCTGGCCTGCACAGCACACCCAGGGGGAACAGGAGACCTTCCCACCTACTCCCCTTCTCCCCTGGACACAGGAGAGGCTGAGGATTTGCCAAGCCCAGAGCACTGCACAATGTGACTGTCCTGCAGGGCTCAGTCACCTCCCTCAGGGCTTTCAGAACACGAGCAGCCAAATCCCACACCCTGATTCCAAAGTGGCACTTTGGACCAGCACACAAAGAAATCCACGGCTTTATTCCATCAGTGCTCTGGTTTGCTTTGCTTTTCAGTGGAGGTGTAGGCAATGTTTTGGGAGCAAAAGTATAATTTCTGAAGGACAAAGAGCAAGTTTCTTCCCAAGGAAAAGCACTGGCAGTAACAGCAGAAAGCTAAGAATGCCAAGAGGAATTCTCATAATTTGGAGCTGTGACTTTGGCTTCTCTCTTGACAGCAGAGGCAAATATAAGGAAGCATTTAGAATAAAAACAACTGTGGTGACACACATGAATTGTCACTCAGCAGCTTGGGCTGCCCACAAGAAGCCACGAGGAAGAAGACAAAAATTCCATGAGCCCACAGAAACATGAAAATTACACCATGGCTGAAAGAGTGCCCTGCATCCAGCTGAGTGCATCAGCTGCCCTCCCCACGGCCATCCTCAGGGAAAAACCCTGTGCAGCCTGAAGAGGGACAAGGGACATTCAATAGATGCCATAAATGCTTGAGAGTGCTCAGACTGAGCTCCCAGCACAGCCCCCCTTGGGCCCCCCAGGTGCAGAGAAAACAAATCCATGCCTGTCCTGCTCTCGGTGCCTTTCTGGGTCATGCTTGCCTTCCACTGACAGCCTGGAGCAGCTGCAGAGAGCATGGGAAGGGTCTTCCTCCCAAAAATGGGTTCCACAGGCACCAGACTATGCAGGCAAACAGCAGTTGCCTTGACCAGATTATCTGAAATTCCAGCTGAAGAATCAGAGATAATCCCATGATATTAGATTTCCGAAAATACCCCCTTTCCCACTCTTAAATAATGTCCGGGTTCACTCCTCACAAAACAAACAAATGCAAATATAACACTGTAAAAAATGTCAGAGTCGACTCTTCAGCACGTTTAGGACATTTTGTTTCAATGTTCAGTTCAGAACAGGCAGTGCTGATCCAAGCCAGCGCTGTTATTTAAGGACAGTGGTGCTGCAGGAAGCCCTCCCCGCGCTGTTATCAGAGCAGGCTTTCTAAAAACATCCCAAACGTCACCACCACCGTGACAGCTTCCACACAATTCACGCCTCGTTTTGGTAAAAGTGGTGATTTCTCTGAAAACAATTCTGTTTTCAGCTCACTTGGAACTTCTTGAGCACCAAGGTAGAGAATTCAAGAGAACTGGCATTTCCTTAGAGAAACCACGTTAAGGCACACAAGTACCAAGAAAAAGGAAGCAAATTAAGAAACTAATTTCTCTAAATAATCATCTCAACAGTGACCTGAAACTGAAAGAGAATCACGGTAAAAGCAGGTCGAGTTACTGCGTGTGGATGTAAAACAGCCCAAGTCCACACAGACACAGCCAGGGAAGCCACAGCAGGAATAACAGACCCCTAGGAAAGAGACTTCCAAAAATCTTCACTATATAACTGGGAAAAGGAAAGAGTGTGGAAGAAAACTGCTGCACAGCAGGCAGTCGATTTTCACTGGAATAGCACGTTGGGATCAGATGGATGTTTACCACTAACACCAAGGATAAAGGATGACCAGCTCCAAGCGAAGTCAGAAAGGATCCAGAAAGTAATCAGACATCTCAGTGAACTTCAGCTCTACTTTAGGAAACTGGAAAGGAGAACTGAGACTGGTGATTTGGTCCTTCTTAAGAACTCCTGAAGGGCAGATTCACGAGGGCTGCAAAATGCCAGTGCTTTTACACCCAGCTGGAGGAATGGAGGAACTGAGGAACCAGCATTCATCACCCAAGGCCTGTGCAGAGAGTGGAATGAAAGGGATCCGAGATAACAGAGAGGCAGAAATGTTCCTCTGAGCCTCCAAGAGCAATTATGTAGGCTGGGCCTCCCAAAAGTACTCTTGGATCTAAACACAATCAGAGAGGGAGAGAAGGGGAAGACGACAACTCCTTGCACCTCTGTAGGAAGGCTGGAGATCCCGTCCCTAAGGTAGATACAACACTTCTTATTCCCCTAATACAGCTCCTAGTAATGGATTAATAAAGAAAACCCACCATATAACCCACTATTATCCTTGCACATTAACACCAAAACAAGGCAAGGCAAGGACCCCTAAACTCCACCACTCTTCAGCTCGACTTGTCTTGACGTTTCCTTGTCCTCAGCATGCCTGGGTCAGGTTGTTTAATAACCACATTCTGATTTATGCTGCACAGCTGCTTTTTTTCCTCCCTAGAGGCTCTCACAAGAGGTGATCTGCTGTCACCTGCCTGCACAGGTTAGGCAACAAGCCATCCTGCCAGCAGGACTGCGGGCAATTCCTTCTGGGGCCAGCAATTTATCCTTCTGTAGAGAAAGAAAAATCAGTCTCCTGGATCTCCCAGCCAACATTCCAGGAAAAGAGCTCTGAGTACACCTTGCAAGCAGAACTCCAGAGCAAATCTGCCTTAATTTAAGCATGCATGAGACAGCCCAGCAAGGACTGAGATGAACAGGACAGTAGTACATGAAAGGACCCCAAGTACTTCGTGGACATGCATGTACATGTAAAAATGCATGGTATAACTGTATATATAAATAAACATACATTTATATGCATATATAAATACAAACAATGCTTATAATTATAATATGCTTATAATTGTTAAATATTAATTATTTATTAATTACATAAGTAAAGCATATATATGCTTGTATGCATTGCCTGATCATGAAATAAAAATACTTGTCATATAAATAAAAAGTTGACAATAAAAAAAGTTTTCAGCAATTGCTGTCAAAAGCCAAGAAAAAACAATCCCAAGGTGGGTTCTGTCTGTCTGGTCCACTCCTCAGCCTGAGTTTGGATCAGCTGCTCTCACCACAGAGCTGACATCACCCAACCAGATGACACTCGATATTTAGAAATTCAGAACACGAGGCAGCCTGGTGCTTTGCACTCTGGATGCCAGACCTCACATTTTACAACTGCCTAAATATTTCCAAAGCTAAGTGTAACCTTCTTTTCAAAGCTCCTCTGAGCTGGACGAGTTTAAAACCTGCACAGAGGCTGCAGAAGAGGTGGATGTGTTACCACATGAAACCTGTTGGACAGGTTTGGTGTGACATCCTCATTTCCCTACGGAGACTGTCAGGTACTGACTTCCAACATCTGTTTAGTCAGCTCCACTCAGCTAAAGAATGAAGTCTCTGGTTATACCCAACATCAACAAAGCACTGGTCTTAAGAAACCCCTTGTGAGCAGCTGCTCCTGAAGAATGGGAAACACGCCTGACAAAACTCCTTCCTGCCTTGGATCCCTTCCAGAGGTGTCTTGGAATGACTCTTCACACAATGGTCGCTGCATGACTCTGCTGGCAAACTACAAAGCAAGGAGGGGGAATAAAAACCCCTCAGGTTCTCGCCTAGACAAAAAAAAAAAAAATTAAAAAAAAAAAGTGGAAATTTAACTTTAAATCCTTAAGACATCGCCCACCTTTGTCACCTTTCTTTTTGGCCTAGACAGGTCTCCCACATTTGCCTCCTGCAACTGATATATGAAAAGACACTAATGCATCCATGGGTAGAAGTGGTTCTGATAGATTTTTAGGCTACCAGCACTGCAGTGAAACCCTAAAGCACTGGAAAGGGTGAGGGGGAGCCACCTGCAAGCGTTGCATCCCGAATTTCACGTCGTGACTGAGTTCTCGGGCGCCCATCAAAGTGCAGGGAAGGGAAGCAGGGTGACGTGTCAGGAGGGGATGGGCAGAGAGCAGGTCCTCACTTGTTTTCCTCTGGGTTTTCCTAAGCAGCAGCAGCTTTAAACACTGTCTGTGCACAGAGCAGGAGGCCTCGACAAAGCAGCACCTGACAACAGGTGCTTTGTGAGTGCTGTCCCTTTTGAACAGAGCAAGTGGTGCTGACCCACCCCAAGGGCAGAAGATGGCTTTTTATTTTCGTTGTAAAGAACTGAAAATAAAGCTACAGATTCGCCCAGAGGCAGCTCAGTTTGAGCTGTGTCACAAAGCAGAGCAATCTTTTGGGGTTTTTCCAGTTTTTAAAGGGTGTAGAGATTACAACCAACGCTGTTTTGGTGACTCTGCCTGTTCCTTTGTGCACTTTGTAGCCACCGAGGCTGAGGGGCATCAAACCAGATGGAGAAACAAACACAGGCAAAAGCCCCACAAACAATCAGCAGGCAAGAAAATTACAAATAGGCCAGATTTGCCTCAACTCTTTGATGTCTCCTGACAGAGCCAGCATGGCCATGAAGGAGTCAGGCTTCTGTTTTCTGTCCATTAAGCAACTTGTGGCTCTTTACTGGCACTCCAGCCTCTCCACGGCTCTCAGAGCTCTCTATTCACTTGAGATTAAATAACCTAAAAAGCTCCTCCACTGTCTCACTGCATCGTATTTCAGCTTCACCACCAACAAATCTGGTGTTTCCAGTCACCTCAGGCTTCCTCACACACAGACCCTGCTGTCAGGCAGCAATTAGAACAGGTAGGGCAGGAACTGAAGTTCCTCCCTGATTCACACTCAGCCTTAAAGTCTTTCTGTGGCACATCCTTACCTGGACTCGGCTCTAATTCCATCATCTCCCAACTGCTGCTGTTTGAAACTACAAGGTGACAAATACTTGACTAAGAAACCAAAGAAAATTTGGTGTTCGTCCCAATTACTTTATTTTTCCCCCCCCTTTTAAACCAGATCATTCCTCTTATAATTTATTGCAAAAGCTTGGCAAGAAGGAGGACTAAAGGATCACTGTTTTGCTCAGCGTGGACGTAGCACATGATTCCACAAGCTCCAATTGCATAATGAAAGCTTTTACTAAACATGCTGTGGAAAATCAGCTCCCTAAATAACAGAAACCGAGACAGAAAGCTACACCGCGGTCTGGTTCGCCTTGCTTTCAATCAAACATGCCAAAACAACCTCCAGAATGCTTTCCTAGCAGCCTCATCACTTGCAGACAGCATTCTCCTGTGGGTATTGAATTACAGCAACCTGCCCGGGGAAAGGGGAAGGATCCACACACCAGGGAAGTCAGGGACCCATGGAAACAGACCCCAAACACGGGAGTTTTGGCAGACAGGTATCACAAGCACAAGTTTTAGGGTATTATTTCCCGGATGTCAGGGCAGAAGCCAGGATTTTTAGAGTCGTTGTAACTCGCCAGAGATTTTTCTGTGTGACCTTGAGCAAAAAACATTTTCAACTTTTTCCACGTCTCCAATTCTTCACTTGGGAAGGGCGGAGGGGGGGGAGAGGGGATGGAACCAGCAGGGTTGGCTGGTTAAAAGGCAGCAAAATCCGTGTTTAAAAGGAATTTGAGAGGGGGACACAGGCGCTATCCTTAAAGGAGGCGCAGGTGATTCCAGCGGCCATCCGAGCGCTCCATCGCGGAGCAGAGCACGCAGCACGGAGCAGCGGGGGCTCCTGGCCACGGGGTGGGTGTCGGGGGGTCCCCACCTCCCAGGAGCAGCAGGCAGCACCCACCTCACGGCGTGGAAGCAGCACAGCAAGCCCGTGCCCGTGGGCGAGCCCCTGACGATGGTGAGGTAGAGGTAGAGGGCGATGGCCATGGTCCAGAAGAAGGAGCTGGTGTTGGCGAAGGTGGACAGGGCGCCCTGCAGGACGCAGTCCCAGGAGGTCCTGTCGAAGTCCTGCAGCACCCCGTAGAAGTAGGAGAGCGCCGAGAGCAGGTCGGCCAGCGACAGGTACAGCAGGAGCTGCCGCGGCCGCGTCCGCAGCTCCGGCCACAGCGCGTGGGAGCAGAGCAGGAGCGAGGAGCCCACGCAGGACAGGACACAGGACACGAGCACCACGGCCCGCTCCGAGCCCAGCAGCTCCGTCGGGGGCAGCGGGGCGGGCATGGCAGCGGTCCCGGCAGCGGCGGGGGATGGAGGAGCCGCGGCGGGACCGGAGCGCTCCGCGGGAGCGCCGGGACGGGACGGGAGAGGATGGGATGGGATGGGGAGGGCAGGAGCGGCAGGAGCCGGGACCGGCTCGGCAGCGGCGGGGCCCGACCCGCCCCCGCTGTCATGTGAGCCCGGCCCGGCCCCCCCGCTCCCCCTCTGGATCCCGAGGGAATCCCCAGGGAGCGGCCCCGGGAGCCGCGCTGCGAGCGGAGCGGCTGCGGCCCCGCGGCGCAGAAAACACCTCCGTCCTTCGAACCGGGAAAACCCCGCCGCGACAGGACGCGACAGAAATAAACGCCCGCTCTGCTGTCGTCTCCTCATTTTCACTGTTGACTCCACACTTTTACTGTCGGGACCTTCTTCCCCCCAGGACAGCGCACAGCTCGCCTGTCCCTTCCGAGCCACCTCTATCGGTGTTTGCACATGTATATGTACACTCGAGGGCACACTGGAACACGTTCCCATGCCCAGAAGAAAGGTTTATCGGACCAGCAACACACACCACCGGTCCCTCACCCTGGCCAGGTGACACCGGTGTTACCTTCACCTCCCACATTCCAGCACTGATTCGCAGCATCCTGCAACCCGCGGAGCTGAAAAGCCTCAGGAGAGACACAACAGAGCGTTCATTCCCCGTGTTAAACGGATTTTACAGCTCTGTCGATAAGAAAGAGCTTTCCCCCACCCCGCCTCTCCTTCAAAGAACTCACGGGTTGAAAGCATGTCCTTGTTTGCCTGATCCTTCACCGGCTTCCACACAAGACAACTCATACTTTACACCTTTGATGTAAATGTGCTCCATTTTCAAAGGGCGTTGCTGTTTCAGGTGTCTTGTTCTCCCGAACAGTTTAATCATTTCCCAGCCATGAAGGATCCCTGCTGAACTCAGGTTTTAACAAGGTTTATTCGGACCTGTAGAACCAGGTGTCCCCACCCAAGCTTCCCCCAGCACCCTGCAGCCACCTAACACACCCCAGACAACACACCTGATGGAAACACCTTAAAAAAACCACAAATGATTTCAAGTTTTCATGTCACTTTTGGCCACGGTGTCCTTTCAGTTCTACGTTCCCATCTTCCAAATTGAGAGAGAGAGTTCTCAACATTTTAAATCACTTCTTTTGACCTGGACACAATTTGACACTAATAGCTTTTCTTAACTTATCATTATTCCAGCCTTTCTTTAGCTACCATCTGACCCACCCCAAAAAACCCCAAGACAAAGCTCTGTCAAGGCTGCACTCCCACTTGTTGCTCTTACACATTCTTGTCTTCTTCCTCCTTGTTTGGTTTCCCCTTTCCCCACTTTTGTAGCACAAGACACTCCCCTAACTATCACAAACATCCAGACAAACCACAGCATCAAACACCCTGGGGCTTTGGAGTGTTGCTTTTATTTCTGGGTGTTAATTAGGCCTTGCCAGACAGCGAAATCAAAATAAACCCAGAATTTGCATTTCCCTAACTGTGTGGCTGGAATTCAGATATTCCCTTCTCCCCACTTTTTTAAAAAAGCAGTTTGTCAGGTCATCATATGCTGCAGGAACAAACAAATGTATCTTTGTTTTAGCAGTCAGAAATAGGATAAGGGCAGAGGATTTTCTGCTGGGTCTCTAAAATAGGAATATGGCAAGTTTACACACAGAAGTCACCACTCCAGAGCAGGGCACAGACAAAGAGCTTGTGCTTTAAAACTGAGGAATAAAAGGCAAATAACTTCTTACTAAGGATTCCCACCACCTTTCATTTTCTTGATATCTCCACAGCCAAGACATCCAGCACCTCCGTGGCATTCCTGGCATTTTGAGGTTGTTACCTTCCAGCTGCAGGGGAGCAGTGCAGCTGTCTCTGCCCAAAATACACATTCCTACCTTCGCTCCCAAGGAATCTGCAGTTGTCCAGAGAACAGAAATATTTGGAAACTGCCCAAAGATACATGTCAATTCAAAGGCAGCGTTGTCTGTAGCTCAGAAGTAAAAAAAAAACAAAAAACTCTAAGCAAGTGGCTTAGACACAATGAAAAATCTCCTATGAGAGCCTCTCTTTCAGAGGCTTTTTAAGGCACAGGGAGATGAAGCAACGTGGTGTTTGGTGAAAAGACAAAAAATCTTTTTTTTTTCCTGACTTGAATTCCTCTCACCAACCACTAAAAGAGCTATCTGACACACAGGCTACACTCTGCATCTTACACAGCACTGGTTGAGCTGTAGCTGCAGAAATTTACCTCCACTGGGAGACAGAAAGTACTGACATCATAACCTTTAAATTTTTTTTTTTTTTTTTTTTTACAAACTGGCTTCAACAAGAAGTTTTTGCTGTGCCCCTGCAGCTGGTAGGAAGCTGGGCTGAGACAGTTCTCCATTAACTAGGAACCTGGTCATATGCCTTAGGACTTTTAGGTGATTATTAGGAGCTGAGACCCCCCCAGCACCTCTGCATATCCCAGACAAAGGCCTGCTTTACAGCACTGTGAAATCTGGATTTAGGGCCAGGTCAGTGAGGCAGCTTTTCATCAGAGACAAAGACACTCCAAGAAAAAGCACATGAGCACAGGAGTTCTGCTCTTGCTCTGGTTTACTCCCCTGATCTGCTCAAAGGCCAGCTCAGGGTCCACCAGGGAGAGGAGCCTGAGCTCCTCCTGAACCATCAAGTCACCATTTCACATCCCAGTCCAGAGCACACACGTGTGAGGAAGAAAAGAGACTTTGCACCACTTAGAGCTGTTTGTTTCTGACGTTTCAGCCAAGGGAACCCGAGTTCCCTTCACCACGTCCACCTTAAGGCCACAGAGAGAATTAACACCCTCTGCCTGCAAGTGCCAGCTCCCAGCACCCCCAGCAGCCTCTGCACCCACAAGAGGTCACTGCTGGTCCAGGCAGGAGTGTTTTCTCCCATCATCACTGTCCTGATCTAACAAGCTCTTCATAAAGGCAGATGAACCTTGGCCACCTTTTCCCACCCCTGCCCACAGCTTAGACAGTGATTTCAAGAAGGAGCCTGGAAAAAAAAAGGTTGAGTCCAATTTCATGGCACACACAAACAAACAAACAAACAAAAAGTAGATGAGTATTGAAATAACCAGAACTCTTTAATGCTTTAGTTTTCAAACCACCATGAAGCTAAATTCCAACCCAGGAATCCAATACAGCTGTTTCTTATACCCATCAGCTTCTCAGGGCTCAGTCTGGGAGCAATCAGACACCCAACTCCCACCCCCTGACAGGAATGCCAAATTAAATGCACCCTGCCCAACCTTCCCCTGCCACAGACCCCAGGCAGAACACCTGGCCAAGAGTTACACCTGAGTCTCTGGAAAGAGAAACCTAACTCTGGAACTGTAAAACAGTTTAAAAAATAAAATAAAAACAACAGAAAGCCAGCCAACAGTTTTACCAGCACCTGAGCTCTTCACTTCCAGGAGAATGGGACCATTTTTTCTAAGGCATCACCTGATCCTTGGGTTCACTGCATCAGCTGAAAGGAAAGCCAGGGGAGCATAGTTAAGAGAAGGCTTCTGAGAGAGGTGAAAATCCTCATGCTTGTCCTTTGTTGCTTTTTCTAGCATGTGACATAAAAAAAAAAACAAAAAAAACCCCCTACATTTCTAGCAGTCCTGGCACAGATTAGGGACCTAATCCTTGACTTCATTAACCCCATCTGTTCCATTTTTGGCCAGGCACTAACACAGCCAGCTTTTGATACAGCACTGCTGAAAGACATCGAGGGCTGCTCAGAAAATTCCAGAGTGATCACTCAGAATCTTCATAACAGTCTCTCATTACCTGCCCCCCTCCAGAAAACAACCCTCCTCACACAGATTTAGAAGGGTCAAATGAAAAAAATCCAAACCACAAGGAAATATTTCCTACATGTCAATAAGAATGCCAAGCAACAAATCAGTCAAAAAGGTGCAGACACCACATCCAATCTCAACACCAACAGCTCCCACTCTCCCCCAGGGACCAGATGGGGGTCACACAAAAAAACCCAAAGTACCACCCAAGATGCCCTCATGTCACTGCAACAGCTGAAAATAAGTTTAACTAAGATTAGTTTTAGTTCATTCCAAGTCCTCTGGAATTAGCAAATGCTGGGTGAATTCCTACTTTATCCTGGTCATGCAAGACCAAACACCCTGACTTTCTCCACTGCTGCTACTTGCAGGTTAATCCCCTCCTTCCTCCTGCTTCCCACCCCTCTGCTGTGCAGCAGTGACAGGGCTGTGCCCTCCAAGCTGCTTCCAGGGCCTGGGTACAAACTGTGGCATGTTAACTGCTGCTCCAGCCTGGCTCTTTGGGATTCCTTAGGGCCTGAAACAATCCCCTTGAACCAGACCCACCCAACACAACTGTTGGTGGAGTGACGCATTTTCAACTCTTGGCAGGCTCAGCGTGAGGACAGAGGAGTGGCCCCGAGGCAAAGGAGACCCTGTAAAAACCTGCTGGATCAGGATGACTTGGGATTTACTCCAGGCTTTCCTTTTCCACCTCCAGCAAACCCCAGAGCAGAGTGTTTGCACACAACTGCTGAAGCAGGACACCCTCATCCCCTGCTGCAGAGCACCACACTGCATCCCTCCAGCAAGCAGAGATGCTTAGTCATTTGAAACAGTTCCATTAGCATAAAAATGTGTAGTCAGGCTGCAGAGATGGCACAAGAATTCAAGCCAGCAGCTCTCAAAAAAAAAAAAAAAAAAAAAGGGCAAAAAAAAAAGTCAAAGCCACCAGCAATGAGATTTTTTTGCAGGCAGAATGTAATTAGTTACAGTGCTGGAACGAAGCCAGTGACAATCAAGGAATTAAAGGATGCTCCAAGTGTTGTGATAGGTTTTAATTTCAAATTTAAATGAGGGGATTAACAAGGGATATTCCTTCATGCTGGGGCTGTGTGGAGAAAAATAAAGGTGTTGATATTGTGCATTCATAATGAAACAGGGCACGCCATGAACAAGCAAAAGATATTGCATTTCAGAGCTGGTTGTGAGGCCACCCAGGTCAGACCCAAGCGTGGAAAGGGCACTAGAAAGGGGATTTACACGGAATACAAAGGGCCTGTCTCTGCAGTGAACTTCATGGCAACCCCTCAATGCTAATTTCCTACCACTGTCATTATTTATAGTAAAAATAATATAATTGATAGTCAGAAAATAGGCCCAACTGTAGGATTTCTGGGGTGCAGTTTTTCCTGTAAATTGACCTGGAGGTGCACACTTTGCAGCAGAGAGGGCTGCCTCCAGCCTGTGGTTTTAACACGGATGAGACAGGAATATAAAAGCTAATAATGAGAGCCCCAAGGAGGGAGTCAGGATGCAGATCAGCTTTCCTTGGCTGCTGAGCTCAAAACCTCACTCAAGGTATTTCACACAAGTTACTTGGAACAGGTGGAAAGAAAACCAGCAAACAGACAATTTTACTGGAGGGAAATAATAATTTATAAATATAATAAATAACACAGCTGTAGTAAACCTACAGTCCAAAATCTAAACATGACTCCAAAAAGGGATTTTAAAACACTTCTCATCCTTTGCCCAGCTCTGTGCAGGAAACTCAGAGAGCAGAACATTCTCTTGTAACTTGGAATTCAAACCTCCTGTCTTTATTAACACAGAGGAAGTTGCTCAGCAGTCACACAGTGAGACAGGTTCAAACCCCACGTGTTTGTCACCCCAACCACATTCCAGTCATTGCATCAGTCCCAATCAGCCAACACCCAGCTCAGACTCAAGTACAGGGCAGAGTCAAGCTGGGAAAGGGCACCAGAAAGGGCATTTCCACATAATACACGGTGGCAGTTCCTGCAGTGATCTTCATGGCCATCTACCAGGGACAACCCACCCTGTTTCTTCCCACAAAAAGCCAGGAACTGATGGTCATAGTGAGAGAGACAGGGACAAGGCAAAAGCAGCTTGGTTGGTCTAAATGAAATAAATGTAAGCTCTTATCCTCTGTGTGATTACTGAAAAGTTAAACAAGATTTAGGCAAGGCCTTTCCCTTCTCCCAGTGCTGGGATGATTCTTCCTGCTCCCCCAGCACCTAGTGCTGCATTTTGCAGCATTACCAACCACAGCTGGCATTTGACACATTTGACACTCAGGGACAGGCACGGGGGAAGGACAAAGAAAGAAGAAAAACTTGCAGTGTGTTCATCTTTGTCTCCTCTGACATGGAACATCCCGTGGCACTTCTCACACCAGCCTTCTGCTCCCTCAGCACCCCCAGCTCCAGCTCCACACACAACACCTGGGCAGCTTCCCAGCCTGGATCCCCATCCAGCTCGAGCCAGGGAGGTGAGGCAGGCCCAACAATGTGCAGCACTTCTAGGGCAGTATACTTGCTGATTGCTTCCTTGACTATTGCTCACAACAACCAGCTAAGACACTGCCAAAGAAACACTCACAGCTGGCATCACACGAGGATGGCAGGTCGTTGGAAATCCTCAACTGCTCGTCCACAGAGCCTGGGGACAAACAGAGAGTCAGTGAAGCAGCTGCAGCAGTACTGAAAAAAAACACCAGTTTTCAAGGGAGAGGAGGCTCAAACCCATAAAGTGACAGTTCCCCTGTCCCTTACCCCCAGATCTTGGTCATGGCCTCTGAGAATTACAAATATTACCAAGATAAGCCCAGCTTACTTGTCTGCAATCCTTATTTATTGCAATGAGTTCCCACATTTCACACACCACCACTTCTTGGGCAGGAGAGTGGAACAATACCCACCAAACATCTGGAAACAGTTTAAAGACACAAACTTGTTGAAGCTGTTGGTGATTTCACCTGACTGCACAGCTCTGTCTGGGGTCACACACAGGGAGACAGAAAGAGAACTCACTGGGAACACAAAGGAGAAAGGCACCAACACTCACCTGTACTGAAACCCATTGGACTTTCCTGTTTTACTCGTGGAACAGCCTGAGAGACACAACAACTGGTGTTATCTGGCATTCTTGCAATCCTCAGCTCCTGGAAACACATGGGCATGTGAGAAAACAGCCTCCAGGACAAAGCAGCTCCTTAACTCTTGCAGCACAGCCCTACAAGCAGGTTATTGCTCCAGGGCCTCTTATGCAACCCTTGAGTATAAAGGTCCAACAGGCTGCAGGACAAGGAGCTCACTGGCTCTCACCAGCCTCTAATTTCTTTCAGTGATTCGCTGGCAACACTAAATCTGTATATTCGGAGACTTCTGACCTTCTGTTCCCCCTCCTAATGCACCAGGTCACCAATTACAAACACCACAACCTGGTTTGTGGTTGGATACCAAGACAGAGCGAGCTGGGACTCCTGACTGCTCCTTGCTCTCACCCTGTTTTGCCCAGTGAAATGACACTTCCATCTTCCAGCAGGTTACCAGAGCCCTGCCATCCCTGCACTGCCAGACTAAACTGTTGGGTTTATTGTGTGCACTAAGCCATGACAGCTTTCAGTGGCTTCCATCACACAGGATGGCAGTGCAGGTGATGGGAAAAGCTCATGCCCTCTGTGTAATATCAGAGGAGGCTGACAAAGGTGAAATGAGGCGCTGTAACCACACATCAAACCAACCTGCACAGCTGAGAACAGTCACACCCACCAGGCATCCTGATGACAGAACAGAGGCTCCACTCCCAGGAGACAGCACCAGTCAATTAACAGAACACTTCTTGACTGTAACCTTTTCACCCTGAGGGAAAAAACAAACAATTCCAAAACATGAAAATCAAGACTTGACAACAGTACCCACCTCCCTGTCCTGCAAACGTGCCCCACTCTGGAAGGAACTGTTTTGTTTGAACAATGACCTGATCATCCCTCCAGCATTTCCCACCAGGATCAGAACAAACCAGACCATCTCAAAGGCAATTAACAGGTCAGGGACAAGCACAGCTACAGGAGAGCAAAACAGTCTGGTACAGAAGAGGAAGATATCACTTCATCTTTCATCCTCCTCGGGGGACACACAGGGCTGCAGAATTTGGGAACTGTAAAACTTTCCTTTGAGCCACTAAAAAGTCAAGCACCACAGGGCCAGGAAAAGATGTTTTGGGGGATAACCTTCTATCTTGGGGTTAGTGTCCCCCAAAAGTTTTCAGACCTGTGCTGTATTACCCCACCTTCTGCTACAACTCCTGCAATATGCTGAGTCATCCAGAGAATAATGAGCCTGCTTTTAATTTTGCAAATCATTTTAGCTCCCCTCTGCTGCTTGCTACCTATTCCTAGTGCTTTAGGAGAGGAGACAAATCATCCAGCTGAAATTGGACGTTTCCCTCTTGATCTCCCTGTTGTTCAATCCTGAGGGAGAACACAGAGCAGCAAACCCACCCTTGTACTCAAATCTCTCAGGAAGAACAGCCCCAAAAAACACGTGCCCAGCACCCCAAGCAAGCCTGAGTAGCAAGTCACACCAGAACTGTTCACCTGGTCCAAAAAAACCTACTCCAGCCTTCAGCTGCAAGGGACCAGCATCCTAAATGCAGATGTGCCAGTTGGATCTGATCCATCTGCTCCTGGACAGACAAAGATCTCACTAAATCTAGACATTAAATTAAGCTTCCTATTATGAACCTCCAGGTAGGAGAGGAAAGGTCTTGCTTCTCCAACTACAGTCAGTTTTCCTGACTTTCAGCGTTACAGACAGGCTTCCCCTTTTTAGATAAGAATACATTTGATAAATTCTGATTGATTTGATAGAAATCCCGCAATATGTGGGATCCTGAGTTTTGGGTTAGTGTCCCCAGAAGTTTTCAGGCTAGTGCTGTATTATCCCACCTTCTACTGCAACTCCTGCAATCTGCTGAGCCATCCAGAAAATGGTTCTGGGCTAATGACTCTTGGCAATGCTCATTAAGCACCGTTATTATCATATTTCTCCTACCACTTTCTTCCCCTCCAAATTCCCTGCAGCATCCCAATTCCCCAAATACAGCACACAAGCTGCTTAACAACTCCTGTTTGCCTTTTCCTAATTAATCACCCAGCAGAAAACTTTGCTTAGGAGATGAGTTGACAGGTCCCCAGACAGCAAAAGAGGTTTACCAGTTCCTTGCAGTTCTGTGGTAGGAGCTGATCCCACCTGGCAGCAGGACCTGAGGTCCATCTAAACCCCCAGGTGATCCCATCTTCCTGCTCCTTGGCCTCATCCAGGACAGGGAAGGTGAGCAGAGGCTGCAGAGAGGTGCAGACACCTGCTCCAGACTCACAGCACACCCAGACAGTTCCGGCTCTCTGGACACAGCCAGGACTCCTCCCCACTCACACACACGGCCACCACTCCCATGGGCCACGCTCAGGCTCAGGAGGAAACAGGACAACACCTTTGCACTGAGTCACAGGCTGCTGAAAATGGAGCAGAACTGAGAAAAGCTCAGCCAGCACCAGCAGTTGTCTTGCTGTGTTTCACAGAGAGCAGAGATCCCGCAGGAGAGGTGACAGAACAAGGGAAACGGGTCCTGTGTGGCACCGGCCAGCGTTCGTACCTGTAGGACCTGCATTCCAAACCTGGCTGATTTCCACCTGGTCCCTCAGCTCACAGGGCAATTTGGGCAACAGGCTGTCCTGTCTCATTGCAGCTGACAGGTGAAATAGCAGCAGTGGTTTTGTAGCCCCTGGGATGACACTGCTGATGGCAGCCAGATCTGCCCCCAGCAGCCTCTTCCCACAAACTTCCCTGCACTCTGAGAAGCTCAAAAGCTCTCAGATATAAGAGGGAACATCCAGGAAGGAGCTCAGGTTGTTGCATTACCCAAGATCTGCAGGACAGCTGTGTCTGTCACTCAAGCACCTACTCCAGGAAATACAGGCACAAAAGCTCCATAAAACATGGCACAGTCGAGGATGCTGTGAAGAAAACCCAGAGCAACAGTCTCCTCCCACCCCTTAAAAGGCATCATATTGAAAATCTGTCACCTCTCACCCAAGTGAATCCTCGTTTGGGATCTCACTGAGCCTGACTAATATCACTGGCTTAGGCAATATTAAATCCTCACATCAAAACAAGATGAAGCCATGGAATCAATACACACATCACCTACTGAATTTCTCCACATGCCCTGCTGGGAGGAACAAGCTCACACTGTACCTCAGACTCAGGCCCACAGCAGAGTTAAACAACTCATTCTTTGCCAGGTTCAGGGCAACTTCTTCCTTTCTTTGAGATCCCCTTTTTACAGGAAGACAAACAAAAAAGCCCTCTGCTTTTTGCACTCGAGGAAATTCTGCTCTTCCCTTTGCAGCAACAATGAGTAACAGAGCTTTCACTGCCTTTTTCCACCCTGTTCTCCCAAATGACAGCAGAGATGTCCAGCAGGAACATCTTAAACTTGGACTGCAGGCTCTTTACAGCAGCCCATTCTCAGTGGCCAGAAGAAGAGCTGCACTTGTGTTACCCACAAAGCTGATGCACTACTATTGTAGTTCACACACCAGACTTGTTGCATGTTACCCCTTTCCTTTGCACAATTCCCTCCCCATACCTTCTCTAACTGAAGTAAAACACACAGACTGAACCCAAAGGTTTAAACAGAAGCCAAAATGTTCTGTTAAACCTGCTCTGTGGGCATTTGTCAGGTAACCCCAAACACCAGTTCTCCCCCTACAGCACCTAGAGAGGCTCTTTGAGGAATTGTCATTTTGGAGCTTGTATAGACAGCTCACAGCTCTACCAGCAGCTGAGTAAGTGCCATTAATTTCTGTGTAGAATTGCCCCAGACAAAATTACTTCCCAGTAATGAGCTGTGCAGTGGAGCCTGGTGATGGCCCCATCCAAGGCTGCGGTGCTGCCAGAGCTCCTGGAAGCAGGGCTGCCCCTTTTCCCAGCCAGCTCCACTCTGCAGCAGCCAGTGCAAGCTGAGGACACCAGACTGAGGGATTCTGCTGACTCAGTACCTCGGGAGAGGCCTGGGCAGAGTCCAGGGCATTGCAGAGCTGGGAGGACCGAGCCACACGTCAGCCCGTGACTCATTAGCCCAGCAATGCGCAGGAATTACTCATCGATCAGAAACCCAGCAGAGCTGCAAGGAGTCTCATCTCCACTCCAGCTCCTCAGGCCAAACAGACACCTGTGGGTTGACAGCCTGCATAAAGCTGGGAAAGACAACTTTATCCAACCCAAGAAGTTCCTGACCTGGCCCCCAGGTGAGTCTGCTGGGACAGGAGATGCTGCCAGGCTGATCCAGAGCAGAGATTTTAGGGTCACAGCAGTTCTGCCCTCTCTTCCTTGTTCATCTCAGGCTCCACCTCCATCAGGGCTTTGAAGGATCTTTATAGAACTTCCTTCAGGACACGCCTCTCTTTCTTTTCCAAGGCCAGACCCTCTTTTGTACATTTGTTACCCCTAAAGTGTATGACATGGGCTGTACCTGCTTACACAACAGAAAGGGCTGCCATCCCCTGTAAGATGCATCTGATCAGT